GGCTAACCGACACAAAAGTTAGAATTCGAGTGTCCACCTGTCCCTGGGTTCAGTTCTCTGGTCCTGTGCATGCGGGGATAATAAACTCTGTGATTCATGAGAACATCTTTCCTGAACTTGCATCACCCCACGCAATGGAGTCATAAATTTTGTATTACAAATACCCTATTTCATGTAGAAAATAAATTGGATAAATCTTAATAAGAATATTAGCATTAAGAGTTTAACGCAGAAAAAGTAATACTACAAGTATTTGTTGATTTATGAATTAGTCAAACCTCTGCACTTTCCAAACGATAAGGGTATTTTAATCAAAATAAGGTTTGTCAAAGAATATCCATAAATAGTAGTTTGTGCTAGAAAAAGTCTTATTCTTCAATGTGCAAGTACAAACCATACAATCACGTGAGGCATATGCGGTTATAATCCAATTTTTGAATTAAAGATTTTTGTAAAAAGGAGCAATATTAGCGTTGTAATCTTCCACTTCAGTTTTGGGGTTTTTTTTGTGCTTGATACTCGGCTTCTTTTTTGCTTCCCACATTTCTAGGTATTTGTGTTTTTCTACATTAGACAGCCTTGAACACTCTTTGCAGAAGTAACCAAATAACTGCTTGTTCAGAGAATGAAATCTTGCGAGTGCTAGAACTCAAATGTTTTCTTTTTAAATTTGCGTAAAAATAAAACTTTTTTTTTCAACATTGAGCATTTTAGCAGACTGTCTTGATTTACCTTTATCCTTCTCTGTTTTTTACTAAGGCTTATCATACGGGATTTTTTTATTGAAGTGTTTGTCACAATATGTTGGTTGCTGATTAATTTTTCCCGAATAGTTTGTTAAGTTTAGTAAGTTCTATTCCATAACTGGATATCTCTGGTGTATGGCCTCTCTTACAATATCTGGCATTTTCTTTGAATTGATTACTGCTTGTTCGTTGACAAGGATATGGTACTTTATATTGCCTGGCCCTTAGTGTGGGTGGTTCATCATGGGATAGTGGCGGGACGACTGGGGAACCATTTGTTTCTTCACTCTTAAAGCAAAACCATATTTGTATGACTTATTAGCAAATACATGTAGATGAATGCACGTTTCTTTCAATATCCTGTACAGTCAACAGCACTTTAAGACTTATATTTTCTCTACATTAATCTTATAATACTTTTTATGTTGCTTTTTCCTTTTTCCTCCTTTTCTTAGGTTGTTCATTGGAATCAATACTTCCTGTTAAAGGAAATTCGAAAACACAATATAAATATCAACAAAATAGTCAATATTTAGGAATCATGACAAAAATCAACAACAAATTGCATTCTGATTTTTTAAATGTATTAAAATGCATTTGCAGATTACTTATGTGTATACACTCCAAACAGATTTCATTAACTAATATAAAGATAACAGAAAACATATCAAAATAATTAAATTAAATCAAACACTAGAGTCAACTTGTAATTAAATTGCTCTCCTGGTTGTGAAAACTGGGATTCCACTGAAAACTACATTTCCTGGAAAACTACATTTCATGACTTTTCCAGGATTTTTTAGGAATAAGAAGTATAAAAAATGTATGACCAACATGTATGTAGGAAACCCTAAAACATTTATCTGAGTAATCTTTACCTGGAAATGAAATGTTTTCAAAGGTTTACTGCAGTTCCATCTTGCAGGACAAAGATCCTTTTGAAGGGATCCACTATTAGAATAGTGCTTTTGTATCCATCACTTGTTTCAACCTGGTCGCCTCAAAAACTGTACTGCTTCCTTTAACACTTTTGTGACAGTGATTTTTTGTGGCTTGCCTGCGGTTTTCCGTAACAAAGATATTTGATATTTGTTGGCTGTAATGCTCACCCATGTGTGTAAAATATTCAAAGCTAGAAATCTGTGATTTATGAAGACGGAACGACTTTTCAAATATCTTTCTAGGGTTTTGTGGCATTTCATTACATCATCAGGTAACAATTTTTTACATGTACCACAGAAAACTTGCCTGCCGCAAATATTCCAATTTACTAATCCTTCCTAAGTGGGTTTTCCTTTCAGAAACATGTAGAGTGCATTTACAAGGAAATAACAAATTTGCTATTTATTCATTAATTCTTTGTACAAGTACCGGTATCTTTTGGAAATACATATTAATTTTTAAATCATGTTTCTTTCGGATATACCGGTAGACCAACAACTGAATGTTAAAATGGAACATGAGCATGTTACGCCTCTGATGATACTCTTCATAGGGAGGTACTGGATGTCTTACAGAACATTCATCCACCCAGATATCATGCCCAGTATATCCAATAAAACTCACCGGGTATAACCATTCGTCATCTTTGACTACTTTAGCTGCACACCATCTTCCCAACTCATCGACTGCCTGGACGCGACTTTGAGAACTGCACCAAGACTGTAAAATGATGGATGATAATGAGGAAATCACCTTAACCTTGCCCTTATATGGCAGCCAATTTACTCTTGGAGACTCCATCATGAAAGGATGACCCAATTATCTCATTGATATTCTGTTTGCAAATGATTGTTACTTTGTTACAAATTGCTTTTTTATACATGCACCAAACATTTCATATAGATTATAAATGTGACAATGAAACTCTAAATTTTTATTTTTTTATTTTCATATCACTAAGCAGCATCAAGCCAGTGATCAATCCAGCAATGAATGACGACAACCAGCAAAGGATGACATAAACCTGTCATTCACTTTGTACCAAGGACTGGTACCTTTAGCAGAGGTCAAAAGTATAGGGCTACTGGTTTATCACCATAAGGGGGCAATAAAAGATGTCCACTGGGGAAAGCTTTCATTTCCGAATGGGTGTTTTCTTTCCGAGTCAGAGAGGTCTAACTCGGATTCGTTTAAATGGGAGAAATTCGTAATCAAGAAGTACTTTTTCGCTCAATTCTGTACAGTTTACAGTTCAAAAAATCCAAAATATTGATCCTCTCAGGTCAAATTTGTTGTTTTCATCTATTTATTAGTAAGTGTCACACCATGGGTCTGTTTTTCCCACAGAGGACGGCAGTGATGAGGAATGCAATAAACAGACAAAGGATAAAAGGCAGAACATTCGATTAGCATTAACTGCGTGAATATTTGTTGACCATTTAATCCAAAACGTAAAAGAAAATATCCAAAAATGTATGTACAAAAATTCAGGAAAAATTACGCTGAACGGGGTTGACCTCAAACCCTCTGATCTTAGTCAACTATGAACTGCACCGTGTGCATTATAACTTCACCATATTTAGCCCTGCCCTCGCTCTTGAGGGTGGGAGAACTCAGTCTGAGTTTTACTACAGTTCATGAAAGTGTGCCGTTGTC